CAAAACTGTCACAGTGACAGGTGTCCTACACGGTGAAGTTGGCCTTGGTTCATTCTATCGACATATAAAATTTCATTTAAATCGGACAATTTTTTTATTTGATTCATTGATGATAGATTTTCATAGTACACGAAACGTTGTCAAAATATAATAAAATCACTTATTAAGCAGATAAATATACAACTTTGTCCTAGTTTACCCATTCTCGTACTCTCCTATAGTTTTCGAGATCTCAATGGTGGAGTTCGAATTTGAATTACCCTGTATATGAAAAACGCGATCATTTTAGGCGAGATCTTATAAAAAGCTGATAAATAATTGATGGCCATAAAAGGACTCTCCATCAAACCCGGCTCAAATCCCTCGTCAACGACAATACATTTGAGACAGAGCCCATTGTTTCTAGAATAACCATCCCTTTTCTTGTTAATCTCTTTGAAATGAAAGCAAAGTCGAATAGATGCTGATTTAAGCCCAATTTAAGACCTGGAAGGGAAAAGGAATAAGTAGGTGAACGATGACAATACTCTTAGAGAGATAATGTTTTAACTAATTGAGAGTTTGTCATTAAGAAGCGAAATTAAAAGACATTGATGAAAATATATGTTTCCTTGTTTTGTAGCATAATTTAAAATGTTTATCAGGAAGATTTTACTTATTTATTACTTACTTAATTGCGTAATTTTAATAAATTAGATTTATTTTCACTAAGAATATTCAACTTTTGGAATGAAAAAATTATAAACTAGCGTGTACAAGCGACTTCGTTTGCGTCGAATTAATCATTTGTAATGGTGATGATAAAGTAAAGCAAGAATTTCCATTAACATACAAACTGGATAAAATTTTCTCACATTTATGTCAGCATGAAAAAAAAACAATATGGTTATATTATTATATAACTTGGTAATATTTGAGGGGTAGTTTCATCTCGTTGGAATTTGACTTTCGAAAAATCCGTGCCAAAAATAAGCTTTTTACGTCAAGCAGTTTAAGCAGAATCGTGGTTAATCAGTTAACCAACTTTTTGGAACACCCTGTATGATTTTTTTAAAAATGTCAAAATGTGTAAAAAAACAAAATAAATTATGCGTGTCCAAGCGTTTTCCTGAAAGACTAACCGTTTTTTAAATAACAAATATTGTAATATTTGAGGGGCGTTTTCACCCTCTTGGAATTTGAGATTCGAGAAACCCCTCCTTATCTAACCTCTACACCCCACAGTCAATCCGTTTACCAAAAATCAACTTTAAACGTCAAGCAGTTTAAGCAGAATCGTGATTACTCAATGGTCATATTTTATGAAACACCCTGTATAAACTTTGAAAAAATCTTAAAATATGTAAAACAACAAAATAAAATATTTTTTATTATTTTTTTTATAGTTTTTCCGAAAAACTCGCCGGTTTTTAAATAAAAAATATTCTAATATTTGAGAGGCGGTTTCACCCTTTAGAATTCGAGTTTCGAAAAATCCCTTCTTATCGAACCATTCGAACCTCTACACCTTAAAGTCAATCCGTTTTCCAAAAATCAGCTTTGTACGTCAAGCGCTTTAAGCAGAATCGTGATTAATCAATGACCAGATTTTTCGAAACGCCCTGTATACATTTTTAGGAAAATTAAAACAACTTTTGTTGCACGTCATCAATGACACCATGCTTCGTCTTATGGAATTTGTTGGTGGTCGTATTATGTGCAACCAATGTTATTTTAATTTCCCCATGTGTAAAAAAAACAAAATAAAATACACGTGTTTAAGCGTTTTTCGGAAACTTGACCGTTTTTTAAATAAAAAATATTGTAATATTTGAGGGGTAGTTTCACCCTCTCGGAACTGGAATTTCGAAAAATCCCTTCTTATCGAACCTCTACACCCTAGAATCAACCTGTATGCCAAAATTGAGCTTCTTACTTTGAGTGGTGTGAGCAGGATCGTGATTAATCAGTGAGTCACTTAAGGATTTTATATATTAGTATAGATTGTAGTAATAAGTTTAATAATAAGTAATATTTGCATTTAGAGAGTAATCAAGTTACACACCACTTGTTGAGGTATATCTTATAAAACAAACGAAGGAAGACATCCATATGAAACAAATAGTTACGCATCTTTTCGAATGCCAAAACGAAAGGATGAAAAATGATCGACGGCGCGCGTCGTCCTATAAAGTTTCTTTGTCTGAAATATCGTCCATATCAACGAAATAATGGTTTGTAAACAGGAGCTTTTCTGAAGTCCTCCAATCCTGGATGTCGGTGAACTTTTCCTTCAATTGACGATTCGGTATGTTTGTTTTGCGGTGGAAGAGCAGCCACTTCAGTCAGATCTTTAAGAAGCGACATCTTTTATGGAATTAAATTTGAATAAAAATCAATGGGAACAAAAGTACCATGTATGAAAGGAAAATATAACCAAAAGTTTATGTAAATGAAAAAGGATTGTTCTTTATGAATGTTTCTTAATTCGTTTGTTGTTCTTCTGGACAAAGCTACTCTTTGTGATTTTCTACCGAATTTTATGCTCTTGAAAAGAATGACTTTGAGACAATGAGACTAGAACATTTTAATAAAAATATTAAGGAACGAGAATAATACTATCCATATACAGGGTCACTGATATGTATGGGAACGGTATATTATTAGGTAAAATATACAAGGTACCACAAAATGTTAAATATAAAAGTTATAGGAACTGTCTAGTAGTTAGTAGGTAAATTTAGATATACAGGATCGGTTATAAAGTCGTGGCACATCAAAATTTATTTTTTAAAATGCAACCCCCTGTATATTATTTCAATTGTTCCTTCAATTTACTTACATAATGCACCTAAATTCAACCATTTCCGAAATATGAAGTTTTGATTATGAAATGCTAAACGAACATTTTGTAATTTTCAGACTTGACATAATCTCATTCGATACATCTATAAATGCTAACTTGAAAACTAATGTCAAATATTATTTAGTATCAGATTCCGCAGAAAGACAAATTTCTTCTATTTCTTCATTCTTCAAATTTCTTCTATTTGAGGCATTACTTCTATTTCTTCTGAACTTTCAATTTGATAACAAACAGTTCAAAGGGAACATATAATTTGATAACAAACAGTTCAAAGGGAATATATAAACAAAAATTTACAAGTATGCAACAAGTCAACAAATCCACAAATGACGCTATATTTTCCCTCCCTAAAGTTTACTCCAGCCTAAATAACCATCATTCTACAGCAACAATTTTCTGTGATTTTTCTAAGGCTTTCGACTGTGTAAATCATAAGATCCTAATTAATAAACTGCAGCACTATGGGTTCAGGAGAACATCTCTCGAATGCTTTAAGTCGTATCTGAGCAACAGAACTCAACTTGTGAAGGTGGATACCACGTTGCCTTCTAGCTAGCCAATAGAATGTGGAGTACCTCAGGCTCGGTACCAGGCCCTATTTTGTTTCTTCTTTTTATTAACGACATTGCTAACGTAAACATCATTGGTAAAATATGTATTTTTGCGGACGACACTAGCTTCACTTGAAGCAACAAGGACGTCACGGCACTTCATAGGATTATATCAAATGACTTAATCACCATTAAATCTTGGTGCGATTTGAACCTCCTGAATCTCAACATTTCTAAAACTAAAGCTTTGTCGTATAATAACTCGCTGCAGCCTTTTGTACTTAACAACACCACCACTGACGTCGTAAAATCAGTAAAATTCTTAGGGCTTGTTGTAGACAATTCTCTAAAATGGGACATGCATGACGCTTTGTCGAAAAAATTAAGCTCTGCCTGTTTTGCATTAACATCTGTGAAGTGTGAGCTTAACTTGTCAGTGGCTAGAACTGTTTATTATGCACTTTTTGAGTCGCACCTCAGATATGCCCTTCCATTCTGGGGTACGTGTTGTGCTACTCAATTTGACCGCATTTTCAAGCTCCAGAAGAGAGCTGTTCGTTATTCACTGGGACTAAACAGCGGAACTCATTGCCAGGACTTTTTTTTAAAAATTAAAAATATTAACTCCTCCTTCCTTATTTATATTTGAATCCGTTTGCCTAATACGTAAGCATGTATCAGCTTCTCAAGAAAGGCCATCTCACACTTATCTACTCAGGAACGCCGGAGCAAGATATTTATCTACCTACCCCACGCTCAGAATCACCTGCCATTTGAAATCAAATCCATAATATCATTTTCTTCATTTCGCAAAGCATTGAAATCTTATTTACTAGACAAGGCTTTCTACGCCGTAAATGACTTATATTTTGGTAATCGAATTTGATCTCGTAAACACTGGCCTAATATTTGCTATTACTATATTTACTATAAACTTACTAAATATTTTTGAATCTTATTTTTAGTTTTTTCTTCTTTGACATTGTAAACATTTATAAATGTTTATTTTAAACAATAAGACTAACAATGTAATTTGTATACTTGTTTTGTATTCTCTTTTGTTTGTTTACTTTACCTTTGTCTACAAATTGTAAAATTTTTTGACAATAAAGGCATTTATTTATTTATGCCATGAAAATAGTCAAACACATATACCCTGTATACATATATTGTATAAGCAGAAAGTAGTCTCGACTGACTAGTGAGAAAGAAAATCTAGGAACTAGTGGGGTTGCAGTCGGAAGGGTTTGACAAAGAATTAACACACTTTAATATTGTCATTGTTGTTTACAGAAACGTAGTACAGAAAAGACCTTCATAAAAACTACAATAAAAATAGCCCTCTTCCCCCTTTTTTGTGGTTGACTGGTCAGCGATGCTTCACGGTGGAGTTATCAACACAAGCCAAATTTTTTAATGTAGTTTTTATGAAGGTCTTTTCTGTACCACGTTAATGTCCTGAGGAAGGAATGAATAAATTCCGAAAACTTGACAATTAACAAAGTGTATTAATTCCTTGTCAAACCCTTCCGACTGCAACCCCACTAGTTCCTAGATTTTCTATATTGTATAATATATTTTAAATTTGACTTCTTTTTTTTCAGAATTGGGAAGTGCTCAACACGGCCGTCCTTACAGGACAGCAAGTGTCTCAAGCCATGAAAGTCTTTATCGTATCGCAAGCTGGCAAAGCGGCTGATGTCACATTCCAGGCATCCTGTCATTCGGATGACGACAACGTCCTCAAGGTTTGTAAATTTAATGTACAACATTTTTTGAATTTTGGATTTTACATCACGTGTCGTGAAACAGCTATAATGGGTCTAAGAAGTAATAGTTATGTATTATATATTATCTGACAAATGGTTCTGGAAACAGCTAAAGGAAAGCCGAAGACAATCGATGTTGTCAAGTTTAACAAAAAAAAGCAAATTGCTCGATATTATCTATAAATTGAATATATTTTTAGTTCATTCCCATTTCTATTTTACTTTTTCCAATAATATTTAGATTTAGGTCCCCAGCAGTCGCGCGACTGCTGGAACGAAATGCGTCGCGACCAAGGTCGAGCGTCGATAACTAGTTACCAGTTACTTCTGTTCGCGACAGACGAAACCATGACTCTAGGAGCGCGACGGCTGGGCTGGAGCGAAACACGTCGCTATGCGGTTACTGCGGTTCGAGCCAACTTCAAGAGCGATTATAAATAATTTATAATTTCGTCGTTATTATGATCGTCGTTCTTCAGTAACAGGTTCCTGATTCGTTGTGGAGCGCGACACGACGTTACAAAAAAATACCGCTCCAAAATCGCGTTACCCAAATGCAGTTCCTTAAATAAAATATACAAATCAAATATCTATACCGTTAAATAGTTCACAGTAGTTTTTTTTAGTTTCATACGTAGTTTCTTACAAAGTATATTAAACAAATCGCTAAACCAAATGTAGATGCATTTAAAGTAAAACTATATTACAAAGTGTACTGAAAAATTTTGTAGAAATTCCTGGTATATTGGGAGGGGGGTTAATCACTGCGACCTACAGATTTATTGTGTCCCCCTTTCTTGAGTAATAACTCATCCAAAAGTCCCAGGGCTTTGACAAAAGCCAGTATCTGGATCGGTTTTATAGAGGGCAATTATTCATCTCCAATATGAGTTGTACCAAAGTTTATGGCATGAATGGTTGTTATCTCGGCGCACTCAGTGATGAGGTGTTCTGGTGTTTCCCTATTTTCCCCACAGAATCTGCCGATTTTATTAGTATCTTTCGCTTTAATATACTGAGGTGTCCATTGAGGAGACAGTGTCCTGTTAAAAACGCCGTGACAATCCAAAGATTGTTTTTTTTTAAATCAAGGCAAGCCTTTGATTTTTCTTCGTATACTTGATTTTTCGTCGTAAGCCTTCGATTTTTGGTCGTAAGTCATTAGAAACTTCTTCGAGTATCTCAGACCGTTGCAACGTTGGAAGGTGTTTGCCACATCGTGTGGGACCGGCTTTACCGATGACCCATTGTTTTAATTCGTTTTGTTTGGTTTGGTTATATACACTGTACACTTGTTGTAGATGTTATAAATCCAATATCAGCTCTGAGGGCAGCCTCTACAACAATTCAGGACTATTAGACTATAAATCCAACTTATCAAAGTAAAAATAAAACACTAAATCACCACAATACACCAAAACACTTTACTTTTACACTGGACGCGCGTTTCGCTAACTATGTTAATCGTTGCGTTAATGTTAGCATCGTCAGCAGATGATCAGGACTCAGCTGTTCCAACTCCCAACTGTAATTATCAAAGTAATAAGTAAGTGTCTCTTTTGTTTTGAAAAAATCGTTAATGTTGTGATTTGATGTGCCGTTTTGAATCAACTTTAACACTTATATAACAACTTTAACGTTCATTTTCGATAAATGATAATAATCCATGTTTAATTACTATATATTGATCATAGGGAATTTGTATTGTATTGTTACGTTTTTCGTCGGTTCCGTGTGGATAGAAAGTCACAATTTATTTAAACACTATTTATTTAACACTAATTAACAAAAACAATAACGATAAAAGACTTATAGAACTATTTACAAACGATTTATAACTAAGAATTTATTTTGAATTTTAGCGCGTTAACTGCACTGGTATATTTATAACTGCCCCCTGTAGGCCACCGCCGCCGGCTTTTATACCGACAGGTAAAGAACTCTAGAATTGTCCATAGATCGTTAGGTGCGTAGAGAAGGTTTTCGAATGTTCTCGTATGTACTAGTCCATTCCAGTGGGACTCGATTCTTCTCGAACGAATGAATCATTGCGGTGTCTATGCGATGTTAAGGTCATCCGAGGGCGGGCCATATTGTGAGGTTAGGTCGAGTCCACACCGGCCCGCAACAGTATATTACCCTATGGAGACCACTGCGACCGCAAGGGTCTATTGTGGCTCAAAATCATAGGCCATACACATTCTCCACTGACATGTCCAAGTATGATTACCGTAAATAAAAACAACGTTTTACATTAAAAAGGCCCCACTGTGTCATATTTTCGCCTAGGCTTATAAATTCCCCTTCTAACTATTTTAATCGAAATGTCGTGTTTCAATTAGAAATCCCGTGTGACTTCGTACATATGGAGAATTGATTTTGGCAGAGCTTGAACTTTAATGCATTTTAGATTACAACTGAAATATTACTGTACGCAATGCGCACTATTAGCATATTTTGTATCAACATCCAGAGAAACGATAAATACATGTTTTATTCAATATAAGGTTTTTCTTCTAATCTAAATATTTCCTTGTTCAAATTGTATAACCATGGAATCAATAATAATAATTGTAGGTCATTAATTGTGAGAATCCATATCACATTTTTTATTATTCATTCTTTGCGTGGCATATTAAATTTTTAAATTGGGGTTATTTTTAGAGAAACAATCTAATGATATTATATATTTTAAAGGTAGTTAAATATACAATCATTTGGTTAAAAGTCAACCATTAGAGGCATATTGCAGTACAAAGATGGCGGAAAAATAGTGTTTCTATGTTTTATCTTTAAAAGAAGAAGCAATAGAATTATGAAATTTTGTGAGTACATTACTGAAAGTACAGTATCTGTATAAATATATATATTTTATATATGTTTTAAACCTTTTTAAATGAGTAGACAGTGTTGAAACACGCTACATCCGGCTGTTCTTGTTAACTAGATTGTTCAGCTTCTGTAGGCATTCTTTGACCAACTTCGAATTAATTGTTACTGAGCTGATCGCTTTTAATGCTGACCATCGGATTGTTTCCGACAGTTCCTATCTAAAATAAGTTGTACGCATCTTTCGATAGTGTAGTGTACTGCCTAAAGGATGATGGGGTAGGTGACCACTGCTTCTGAGTATTTAGTTTATTCCTTCTCTGTTCCTGCTTTGGTTTTATAAGCATCAGTATACCACGTTGTCTTATGGTCTTTTACCTGCTGAGCAAACTTTTCTTTCTTCCAATCCTTTTTATTGCTCAATATTACAGTTAGGTGTTTCTCAAAGTTGTACATTTTTGGTATGTCATCCACTGGGAGTTGGATGAGTGAAATTGTTCTTTGGAAGGTGTTCCAAGCTTCTGAGCTGATAATTCTCTCAGTATTATTTCCGTCAATGATCATTCTAATTATTGTCGTATTCGCATAACTACCAACGGCAATGTGCAGTGGTGTTAGGTCTAGAATGACCTCCACTGCTAATATTGTGCATGTTCTCATGTTCTCATGATGCAGATGTATACCAGTCTCTGCACTCTGCACAAGTTTTGCCCTGCTGAACGTTGCCCTAATTTTGTGTACCAAACAACTGCTCCATAGGTAATAATGGGTCGTACTATCATGGTATAAAAAAAGCTTTATTGTGCAAAAAGCCAAAACAGCTTCATCGACAAAGCATTCACAAAACAAAAAAGCACAAAAACAGATAATAAAAAAAATGCCATATAACACAAATCAATTCAAAAAAATTTACGTCTAAATATAACATATATGGACATTGCAGAACACAGGCGTATCTAGAAAATTTTACAAAAGGAAAATTGTAAATGGATAAAATCATGTTATATATCATAAAATCAAGAGTTACAAAATATTAAATATCAATTAAATTATTATCAACAAAAAAGTCGTTTACCTCATATAGGGCTCTCTCCAGTAAGTATGATTTCAGAGCTTTGCGAAATGCGGGAAAGAATGAAAGTGACTTGATATTCGAAGGTAATGATTGTACATTTTCTTGGCATTGTACAGTATTGAGCTCTTAACTAGTTCTGAGCTCGGGGTTGGCAGATAAATATCGTGCTCCGCATTCCTAAGTGGATAGTTGTGAGAAGGCCTTTCTGGAATAGAGAATACGTGCTTGCGGATTAAGCAAACGGATTTCAAAAATGAATAAGGAAGGACGAGTCAGTATTTTGAAATTTTTAAAGAAATTCTGGCAGTGAGTTCTACTGTTTAGTCCCAATATCTGTCTATAGTATATATCCATCGAATTATGTTAGAGGCGCAGCCCATCTATTTCCCATCAGTCTTCTGCATATCATGAGCCTTTGTAGCTTTGCTGGTAATATTTTTAATATGCCTGTTCCATAGAAGTTCACTCTCCAGGGTTATTCCCAGATATTTGCCTTCCTGTGAAGGCCGTATTTCTTTTCCATCTACTTGGATTCTTTTCGAGTTTTTCAGAATTCGCTTTCTGGTGAATGACGGTACGGCGGTTTTGTCTCAGCCCGACAGTCCTGCACCATCTTAACTATAAGGATAGTATTTATCTATTTTTTGGCACATAAAAAATAACAATAACTTTTAGCTACAAAAATAAATATATCTTACTTTTAGGTCCAAAAATGTATCTTCTTTATCTAGGGAATTTATTTTCCTTTTCATCTTCTACCTTCTGTATTTTATCTAAATTGTTATTGAAATAATGATTTTCCACTTCAATTTACTTGATTGTACGTGCGTTCTAGGAAATTAAACAGTAATTTATTTTGTGATTTTAATTAGAACTATAGTATATCTAATATTTTTGGTCTACCTTCTGAGCTATTTGTCACATGAGATGCCACTGAATCTCAAAAATAAAATTTGAGTGATAATACATACGAAAAAGTTAAACGAGACTTTTACTAGGTAATAAAAACTACCGTCTTTCCTTTTATGCAGTAATTAAATTGTGTACATATGTATAATGGTAGTTTTTTATTATTTTCCGCATTTAACAGGCTTTAACTTTTGTTTTAATTCTTTTAGCTAAACTATTGTTTAAAAACAAAAATTATAGGGTTTTTAGTCATTATTTTAAATATGCTTTACCAAGAATGGTATAGTATCTATCACTATCAGTAGTTACAATAGGTCATGATATAAACTATTTTTCTAATATGACAGTTTATCAGGGTGGTCCAAACTCTATTCCGGAAAGTTCGACAGCATATTCTGCAGATAAAAATAAGTGAAAAAGTTCGTATAAATGTATGTCCTAAAATGCTTAATTTCGAAGATACAGGGTGTAGAAGTTTCATTTTTAGTTTGATTGTTTCCAAATAATTTATGAAGTAACTTCGATATTTCGATAAAAATTGGTATCTGGGCGTTTTTTGACACGGGAAATTTGATTTTGATGTCAATATCACTCCTATTTGTAGGGGGCGCCACCTACATGTATTTTAACTGTTTTGAAGAATAATACCTTTTCTCTCGTCCTTACCTGTATAAAACTACTGGGTGAAAAAAATATACATTGCTGTGATTTTTTACGTAAAAAATGTTTCTTGGTAAAATCGCTAGGAGCAACCATTCTCAAGATATTTAGAATGGAAATAGTCAATACGTGTCATTATTGGCAAAAAATAAACATGTTGAGTAGATGGTTATTTGACTGAAATAATAAATTTGGGGACTTTTTATTTTTTTAAATTAATCATAAATTTTTCTTCGAAAAAATGATGCTAAAACAGTTTCTGTTGAACTTTTGGCATAAAAACATTTCAAATTTATTATTTCGGTCTAATAACTATTTAGTACATATTTAATGTTCAATGCTGACAGGTATTGATAATTTCGATTCCAAATATCTCGCGAAGCATTACTCGTAGCGATTTTTACCAAGAGACCTTTTTTACGTAAAAAACGTCGTAAATGTATATTTTTTTTACTCAGTAGTTTTATACAGGTGCGGAAGAAAGGTTATTACTCTTCAAACCAGTTAAAAAATGTATGTGGCGCCCTCTACAAGTACGAGTCATATTGACATCAAAATCAAATTTCTCATATTAAAAAACTCCCAGACTGCCCCAGACACCAATTTTCATCCAAATATTGACGTTACTTCAGAAATTATTTGGAAAAAATCGAACAAAAACTTCTACACCCTGTGTGTCCAAAACTAAGCATTTTAGGGCATACATTTATAAGAACTTTGTTATTTATTTTTATTAGCAGAATATGCTGCCCAAGTTTCCGGAATACAGTTCTTACGTGTTACTTTAAATCGTACCGTTTTTAGGTCTCTTCATCATGTGGATCTGTTTATGTTGATGGAAGCGAACAAAGAGGTTCCATAAATGGATCGGTTTTCGTCAAATATGGTACATACACAGGCAGAGCTACATTTACAGTATGGATGCCGGAGTTTCCACTGGAGTTAATGGTGGCTGACACAAGATTATCCCAGTTGAAATCATGGAGAGTTCCAGACTACCATCCCGTGTAAGTTGCAAAAATTATAATTACCTCGATAAATCAACGCCCATTTAAACCACAGTAACTTCTATTTTTGGTTTTTTATTTTCAATTTGACTTTTTAAATTATTTACAGTAGTGTGGTGTTATTATTTTATATGGAAAGTAATGGGGCGATCTACACACGTCCAACTTAGTTAACCCAACAACGGTCGAATCAACGAAATTGAATATTGCCTCCACACTACCCGATTTCATAATGTCATTTAATACGTCTGTATGTAATCATCAGTTCAATTTCACTTCCTATAGAGGGTTCGGCAATAGTGCGTCGAACATCGGTAGCTCCTTAAATATAAAACTTGCGAATTTTGTTTAAATGCAAACCTAAAGTATGAACGAGGATGTATTTCAGGAAAATATTTTAACTTCTATAGGGTGGCTCAAAAAAGTGTGAGTGGATCGGGATTATCTTTTCTTAAATAGAACACCTTATATATTATTGCGTTTTGGGCTTCATTTCGATAGCCTTAGTGATATTAATAAATAAATAAAAAATATATGTTTTTCAGCCTTTTTTTCAAAAAATTATTAAAAATATAAAACTGTTTTGACACCAAAACTATATTAGGTATTTACTTTAAATGGTTTGTACTTACTTTGCTATAAATATGATAATCATAAATCATACAGGATATTCAAAATTCTACGCCAAACTTTTTTCAATAGATGGAGAATTAAAAAATGAACATTTTTTGTATTTAGAGTATTTCAAAATTTTTATCGGTTCCCCAGATATTCGCGGTTTTATATTTCATATGACACTTTCCACAGTAAATTTTTATCAAAGTCGCCCAATGATTTTTTCTCTCGTATTTTACTCGAGTTATAACTCGTTTATATTCTCGGTTAAAAGAGCCATATGAAATAATACTGCGTGTATCTACGAAACCATTAAAAACTATGAAATACAAAAAATAATAAAAAAAAATACGATGTACTTAAACAGCCGTTAAACGGTAGCCTACTAAAATGCCGTTAATAGATATTGTGACGTCGTTCACGTCGGCGGAAAGTAATGCCTACCTATAAGCATTTTGCAAGAGCATCTGTGGCTCCGTGGCTGAGGCTATAGCTTCGTGAGCGAATGGTCCGAGGTTCAAATCTCGCGCCGACCAAGACTTTTTATATTTTTTTTTGCTTATAGCGTGATCTTATTGCATTGGTTTCACTCTTTTTGGTTGGATTGGTTTAGTTATTTGGCGGGTTGGTTAGCGTAATTATTTGGAGGGTGTTAATTCATTGGTTAGAGTTGTTTTTTTGGTGGGGTTGGTTGGTTTTTACTAATTTATATTTGTTTTTTAAATTTTTTTATCAGTGTCGAGGTTAGTTGCGTTGGTTAAGTTGGTTATTTGGTGGGGTGGATAGCGTTGGTTAGTCCTTATAAAATTTCTATATTTCATAAAGCCGTCAAGTGCGTCACATCAACGACGTCATACCTATTAACGGCATTTTAGTAAGCTACCGTTTAACGGCAGTTTAAGTACAGCCAAAAAAATAATATACTGAGAAAAAAATATCTTCTATTATATTATGTTTGGCGTAGAATTTTGAACACCCTGTATGATTTAAGATTACGATATTTATAACAAAGTAAGTATAGACCATCTAAAGTAAATACCTAATATAGTTTTGATTTCAGGGCAGTTCTTGTATTTGTAATAATTTTTTTAAGAAAGGTTAAAAAATATATAGTTTTTATTTGTTTACTAATATCTCTGAAACCATCAAAATATATTTACTATACCTTAGGATTACGTAAAGTGATCAGAAAGGAAGCCAAAAATGCGATAATATACAGGGTGTTCCATTTAAAAAAATCATCCCGATCACATCTCACACTTTTTTGAGCCACCCTATATAGAAGTTAAAATATTTTCCTGATACATTCTCGTACATACTTTATTTAATGTGTATGTATTGTATGTAACAATACTAAAAAGCAATAGTATATCAATAAATTGTATCCACAATTAGTTTTTAATGCGTTTTTTATAAAATTAAAATAATATAATAGTTATAGCGTTTAACGCCTTAGGAGTAGCAAAGTACAGTTTGCCAGACTAGAGTGGTTCGGCATACAAGGAAGGTAATGTGACTAAAACTACGCTTCAACCGTCTATTATTACCTCAGAATTGTGAATCCCAAGTACTCATTTAAGGCTGAGTCGACCTCGGTACCCAAACTATTTTTATTTTATTAAAAATAGTCGGCTGATTTTAATTAAAAACGGAAGATTTTATTAAAAACTGCCGGCTGTAGGATTCGAACCCACAACCTTTAGATTGGTAGACGAGAGCTGTACCTTTACGCCATCGCCACCAGGCACCATTTAAAATTAAAATCCTTCTTATAAGTAATGACCATGTTGGAATAGATTATTTAATAAAATATGTTTTCAGGAAATTAAAGCATAGATGATTTTTTGTTATGTTATATTATATTTTGTTTTGCAAACCTATTCGAGCAAAAATAAATACATTTTTCTTTTTATTCTTCGCATATTTTATTCAGCAGCCTAAATGCATTTTGCGCCAGACGAGCCATGGAAATCAACAAATATAGCGACCGCGCTATTCAAGCTAGCATTTGTGGCGTTACTAAAATGTTTCGTAAAAATGCACTACAAAAAGTAAGAGGGTTTATGTACTTGCAAATAGAAAAGTTGTACTCTTTTCTAATTCAACAGGTCTTTGTTACTGTTTGTTACCCATAACATATTGTTACATATTTAAGGTTCTACATAAAAAATGTAACAATTTAAAAATTATGGTTAACAAACACGATGTGTCTTTAGTCTGTCATCAATAATAATTAGACATTAAAAAGGTTTCACTTGCAAAAGACTTCTGTTTTTTTTTTGTCACAAGAAGAAACTCTACAAAATAAAAAAGTCATTTTGAAGTAAAACTTCTTTACGGGCGATGGGAGTAAAAATTCAAAGCCACGACACACGAGCTAGCGTCACCGCCGCGTCACAAAAATGGTAACGATCTTGGAGGGTCGTACCTCTAGTTCTATGTGAGCTAGAGGACTGAAACTCAGAATGTAGATGTGACTCGAAGACCCCATCTTTTCGTGATATTTTGACGATGTTTCGTGTACTACGAAACCCTAGCATCAATGAATCAAATCCAAAAATCGTCCGATGTAAATGAAATTTGATATGTCGATAGACTGGACCAAGACCAACTTGACCGTGTACGACACGTGTTACTGTGTCAGATAGTTTTGACGTGAGAAACGTCAAAAGTTGATATCGTCCGATTACGACCAAATAAGGCTATGTGGTAACCAACGATGTGGTAAACAAATCCTGCAAAGTTGGATACGACATTTCGTTTACATCTTCATCAGAGTGGGATTAAGGATTTGATATTTAAGAAAAATATGGCTCAATTTTGGCATAATTGGGGACGGGCTACAGGATGACGCTGTCGACGTTTCGAACCGATGTCTCTAAATGGACGAAAACATCAGGATTTTTCTCTTGATTATGGGTCGATTGGAACCAAATTCGGCATGTGGATAGAGGTACCTGAATGGAGTCCTTAGACTGACGGAGGGACAGACTGACAGACGGGCAGACGGACAGACAGACCGACTGAAGTAAGAAGAAGTTTCACTTCAAATATGCGCACATAGTGCACACACAATTGTTTTTGTAAACACCACTGTCTTGATACAAACGGTTTCTACATGAAGTATCACCAAACAAACAACAAATAATGAACATACAATTCATAGAACACAAAAAGTAACAACCAGGGAATTTAAAACAAAACTATAAAATAAATTGATTAATAAAATTGTCATAAGCCATTTTGTTTTTATCTCTAATAATAAAATCAGTGGAAGCTGCCCAAATGTTTTAGTAATTACCACTTACATAGTATTTCTGTTTTACGAACGGAGATGAGTGCACGAAGTATTTTTCCGTAAAAATTAAAATTAAAATATAGTTCTATACCGGGTGCGTCTCAAAAGTGGCTCACCCCTATAACTTGTTTATTTTTTTGGATAAAAAATCGAGATTTGGTATGATAGTGTATGACAGAAATTAGGATTGATTGACGGTATTCAAATGTTTTCGGTCACTTCCTGTTTCACCGGAAATGACTACAACTTTTGATTTTTAAATGGCAACCTCGGTATTTTGTTACTTTATTCAATAGAAAATGACACTCTGCATAGAATAACATATGATATGTCAACTTTTAGCATTTGAAAATGAGAATGGATTCTACACTCAGAGATGCAAAAAAACGCAACGGAGAAATTTTTGGTTGCGAAATTTAAAATATTATATTTTTGTTATTTTTAGACCTATTTTCATGATTTTTTTAGCAAACTGTATATAATTTATATCAACTTTAATTCGTAAAAACAGCTTTTTATAAACTTTAGTATTTGGCATATTATACAGGGTTAATCGAGGGGTTGTTTTTTTACTCTAACTTTAAAACAACCTGTGCAATAATTTCGTCTGTAAATTTTTCTAAAATATAATTTTACGGTCAGAACTATGATTCCTGAGCATTTTGTTTTTTGATTCATGTCAATACGTGCTTTGGTTAATTTTTAAGAGCGAAATGAACTGATAACGATCAATTTGCAATTTTTTTAATCATTACTTTTTGATGTAATTTTTTAATATGACGAGATGGTTTTGGTGACTATTGTCGTAACGTCATATTACACTGCATTGGATACGCTATACTAAATTAAAAAGAACGTTAAAGACTAATGATACAATCGGGGTTTTAATAAACATTAATAACGATAATAGAACTAACGATATTAAAGAAAACATCTGTAATACTCAAGTATACAAACAAAAAAAATAACCTAAAATTTTGTATTGCCGCCCTTACCTGTTATAACTGCCTGTATACGCCCGTTGATACTGTCATGGACGTTGCATATATCATATTGCGTTATGTTTTCCCATTCTTCTTTAAGGACC